GTCTATAGGTGTATCTATATATATATACCTGTGTGTGTGTGTGTGTGTGTGTGTGTACACACCAAAGAGCCACCACATTATGACCACCCTGCTATTAACATGTAGGATGGATCACTTTAGCCCACAAAACTGCTATCATCCGCCGTGGCATTCATTCCACAAGATGCTGATAGGTAGCCTGAGGTATCTGGTACCAAGTGCTCACCAACTGGTCCTGCAATTCCCTCACATTGCGAGGGGGTAGCGTGGCAGCACAAATTTGGTTTTCCAGGTAGGACCAAAAATGCACTATTGGATTAAGGTCAGGTGAATTTGGGGGACAAGACATGACTTGAAAGTCACTGGAATGTTCCTGGTACCTATCCATGACGATTCAACCCTTATGTCATGGTGAATTATCCTGTTGGTAAACACCATCCCCCGCTGGAAAAACTGTTACCATGAATGGGTGAACCTGGTCTGCAACTATGCTCAAGTAGCTTTCAAACGTCAGGAATTGTTCTATGAGGATTATGGGTCCTTATGTGCCCCATGAAAACATTGTTCCTGGGCGAGAAACCATGAAAACCTGTGTGAGTCCATTGTTATAGATGGTGGGTTGTCATAATGTAATGACTCTTCGGTGTATATTTATATATCTGTGTGTGTGCGTTTTAAATACATATAAAACGTGCATTAATTTTGGTTTCTAAAACCCTGTTTTTTTCTCTTCTATTCTTGATGATGTTAAAAGAAATTAATTCAATTGAAATAGGATTAAGAACAAAATAATGCATTCAACAATATTTTTAAGTTTATATCCAAATTAAATTATGTAACTATCTGTTAATAAACAATTCTATTTACATGGGTAATTGTAAACTTTTCCGCAATTCACAATTTTTTTTGAAGTTTTTATAAATGTTTGGACTCAATTCTAACTAAACTCTGTGTACACTTAAAGAAATACTCTAAATACTTAAAAATTGCCATGCAATTGCTTTTAAAATGTTTTGTTGATATTAATACTAACAACTTCCTAGCGTATATATATTGTTCAAAGGGAAAGTCAATGTTAAATTCGAAACAAAATATCAAGTATAAAATGTTTTTTTTGCCATGTACATACGATGGTAATTGTATGTACATGGATGGAAGGTGAATTCGATAGATGGATGATGAGATTTGGTCTTTTGATTCAATCTTTTTTAAGGAAATATAATCATTCTTATAAATCATAGTATCCTTACACAAGGATCTTCTTGTTCACCGCACACTTTTCAAGTCAATAAAGTTTAACATCACCTTATGGAGAAAAAAAAATAATTATGCGTAATAAATACTTTTTCTCCCATTTTAATTATTTTAATATTTTTGTTCTTTCTTCAACCATACCTTTCAGTTATTAAAAATATACATAATAACCAATGCATTTATGTTATAAAAGAAATTTAGGTTAATTTTCATGGAAATGACCCATATGTGAAATTAAATAGATAATTGCATTCAAATATATTCTACATATCTCTTTGCAGTTTAAATTCAATATTTTATTGAGTATAATTTTTCTTATTTATAATTAAAAAAGCGTTAAATAAATTATGTCGCTTGTAAATTTAATCTGCAATCCATTACCTGCGTGTATAGTACAGCCAATACTGAGTGAAACAATAGTCAAACTCAAGTCTGATATTTTTATCGAATAAAATAATAATTTGTAATCCAAAGTTACTTATGTTTTTATTATGTATTTTTGATTAACTAAACAAATGAGAAAACTTAAGAATAATAAAATTAAATTAACTTAAATATGCATTCACAAATCCTTTATAAATTGATTTCAAAGTGACGGAAAAGGGAACGAGTGTTTTAATACTTTAAATTTCTAATATAAAAAAATTCTGCTTCTTTATTTTTAATCGTTTCTCTTTTCATTATAAAATTATTATTTACTTCGAAGTATATATCAGCTTTTGAAGCAAAACTTAGGAACGCCACTGTGACACAAATATTTCAAATTTATACGAAAATACGAATGAAATCATAAGCATCCATTAGTTTATTCATTAAAAAGTATTTAAGATTATTAATTATTTCCTCTAATTATTTAAGATTATTTTTAAAAAATAAGCAATTTTAATAACTTAATGTAATTAAATATTTCAAGCAATTTCTCAGTGACAAATCAAGCAGTTTATGAACTTCAACGTATTATCAATAACAATTTCATCTATAGTTCGATAACGCTCCTCTAGAAATTCCTAACACTCCCTTAATATCCCATATCTTTAATAAATTTTGCCCCTAGCACTAGGTATTCAGTTAGCAACTGCGGAGTTTGTTAATAACTTCTAAAGGGAGATAATATAATAATAATAATCATATCTAAATTTTTTATACATAATAATAATAGCTACTATCTAAAGGGAGACTGTAAAAGTATCGAAATAACAATCATAATATTAAACATTTTTTTCAAAATCGTTTACATTTTCCAAAAGAATTTTTTCAAAAAGAAAAAAAAAATATTAAATTATTTTCCGTAATCTGGAGAATTGAATAAATCACATCTAGCATTACAAAGATGTTAACATGAAGCAAATATCTCTAAACTTTATTCGAACTTTCTAGAAACTAAAATTTTCAAACTTGTCTTACAGTTGAATTAATTTTTAAACTTATGCCCGTTTTGTTCTTCACGATTCATTAAAAATAAAAATACTTTCAGAATCATAATAACATTTCTGATATTAAATTTAGTGTACACAAATATTGGAAGTAAAACCTCTTATGTCAAAAGAATTTCACGGTGTATAGAATTTCATAAAAAAATATATATTGAAAGGAGTATGAATAGTTTCAGAAGTATTAAGTGGAAAGTGTGAAAAAATGATTTCCTGGAATTAGAAAATTGCTATTTGTCTGATTTAATTGTGACATTCTATATTAGATGAAAATAATTTCCTCCTCTTATTTATATCAGGGTAAAGTTTTTTTTTTTTAGAAAAGGTCAGGTCAATTATGGTTCCTGTAAGAAACTAACTAAAGAACAAGCAAAAGAAAAGTACTCAACTACCTCATAAATTCAACTAGTTCCTAAATATCCTCAATTATCTAGACAGTTTAGATACTGCTTCCGGCGTATTCTTCAAATCAGACATAACAAAATTTATATTGATGGTATGTAAAGTTCCAAACATATAAAGGTTTCATACAGAAAATATATAGGGAAGAGTCGGGTAGCCCCACCCACTTAAGGATTATTGCTTATATTTCTGTATAATATTGAGTAATAATCAATATTTCTGTATGTTTCTATTGTTTTATCATCTAATTAAATAATGCAAAAAGAATAAACCAAAAAAAGAATAGTTTAACTTAAAATATAGAAATTTAAAAAAAACATGTTTTTTAGCTCTTTTCAAAATGTGTCGGGTAGCCCCGCATAGCTACAAAAATTATGTTTTTTTACTGTTTTTTCAGGTGTAAATGAAAATGACCAGTGTATTGACAATAGATAAACCTCATTTATCATTTTTATCACAAAATTATTTTATTTATTACATATTTATATACTTTTAGTGAATTCTATCATTTAATAACAACAAATGTCATACTTTTTATTATTATTAATGTATATTAATAGGTTGTCATTAAGAATGCATATAACATTCAAATTTGAAGAAATAAAATAATAATCTATGCAACCGTACATTTATCGACGAAATAAAATTGGGCGGTGATACCCGATATTCATGTAAGCGGGGCTACCCGAAATCCAATTTTTTAGTAAATTTGTAATTACTCGAACAATTTTTCACATATAAACTTCTTTCTTCGTGCAAATTAAACTTAAGACTTCATACTTTAAGGATGTATGTACAGAAAAAAATATTTTTTCAATATTAAAATGAAGTTTAATCGAAACATTCAACCAATTTTTCTTAATTTCATGACTACTGTATTCAATATATTTTCAAAACTATTGTTTACCATGTTACCAGGTGCATAAATACTTGAAACTATGAAAATAATCTTTTTTAATATAATAAATAATGTCCGATGGTCCATTGACTTGAAAAAATATTCCATACAAATGAAATTGACAGTGGGGGGGGGGGTACCCAACACTCCCGTATATATTTTTCCTTTATTCTACAAAAAAATCCGTTTTTTATAAACGTTATTTACAGCAATTTTATAAAAAATTTTATCTCAAAGCAAAAACTTACATTTGTTTCTTACGAGATATCCCAGAAGAATATGCATATTTCCCATTTTTTTGCTTAGTTACGTATCTAACCGTTGCATCTAACATAATAAAAAATATATTGAATTGAACTGTAAAAACTGCCGTTAACAATGGAATATTAAATCAAGTTAAAACGCAATAACAAGCTTCAAATAAAACAAAATAAAGAAATACTAACATATATATTTACCTAAATGCCATAGAAGTTTTACTACATGTACCACTTAACTGCAAAATTAGTGGAAAAAACTCTTTTTTGAGAAAAAGAACACAGGCATTCTGAGAAATATTTAACTGTTACAATTTTAAAGGAAAAATTTCACCAAATAACAACACATTTAAAAAAAAAGTAGTAAGTTCCTGATGAACTCATAACTATTTCATAGCATCTGGAAAGCATATAATATTTTCATGGTATGAGGGTTTCAAGGATTGATGTAATAAAGAGTTTAGACCTCTGTCTTCAACTGCGTAATTTAAATTCAAAAACATCCGATGTGATAAAATGGAAAATAATTTACACGTAACACGTTTTATGGAAGCAATCACCAAAATAACATATTTGTTCTACATTTCGTTTAAAATTAAAGTTGTATTGGTTCTTATCAAAACCAATTGCTGCAAGCAAATTCAATCATATCGTAATAGGTTTCTGTTCAACTGATTAAACTATGATTTTCACTACTTGTCTATTAGATTGACAATACTCATAAAATTTTACTACTAAACAAACAGATTTAAAGTTTGAGAATGTACCGAAATGATTATTAGATAGCTTTAACATCTCTTGAAAATAAGATTAAATTCAAAGATATAAAATTTTCGAATATAAAAAGGAACATTTTAAGCTCAGAGCTACACATTTGCAGCAAGCTGTGAAAGTCCAGTATATTAACCAGAATCATGAGGACCATTGCACTCTTGCTCGCCCTTGCATTTGCAGTCGCAGGTAAAAAGTTTTCTATTTCTTCATTTTTATATCAACTAATGGTTTCTTTAATGATATTTGTAAAAGTTTCTGAAGAGCAAGAAATAAATATATCTTTTATCTCAAACTCATTTTCAATTCCCCTTTGATTTTTTATAAATATAGAAGCGTTATAAAGAATAACTTTTTTCTTAGGATAATTATTCTTTATTCGGCTTACATAGCATTTACTATAGTAAAGGAATGAGCCCGAAGAAAACCTTTACCTTTTCATATTAGAAAAATCTCTTTTTTATTTTATTTTATAATTTTTCTATTTTTACACCTCCAGACTTCTCTTAAATGTATAAAATATCTGAAAACAATTGTGAACATCGAAAATTTTTATGCCCTTATAAGTATAAACAAAAAATTAAAATTTTTGAGCTAATTTTTCTAGGTTTATAATCACAAACTGTCATTCGGTGAGGCTACAGTTACGATGTCAATACCGTAATCAGACGCAGATCTAGTAAATGTTAAAATCAAGAAAGAAGAAGTAAATGTTAAAGTAAAGAAAAAGTAAATGTTAAAAAAGAAGAAAAAGTAAATGTTAAAATCAATCAAAATTTTCATCACACATTGCCTAATTTATTTTCTGCGCTGTGTACATCGCATTGCGTTGCATCTGAGTAAAGTTTTCGATCTATTCTACAGGTTGTACAGACTGTAACCTTGTCAAACCGTAATCTCAGGATTAATTAATTGAATTTAACGTATCAGAACTTAGTTTTTTTCCTATGTTTTGCTAATTGAAGATATTTTTTGACTGACAATAATTAAAGTAAGCCTTTTCTTTATAACAATTTAACTTCATTGTAAAATTTTTCAATTCAGCTATGATACTAATAATTTTTGATGAAAAATAAAGAGCAAATATGGATGAAATTATTAGAAAGAAAAAAATGCTCAATAAAGAAAAATAGGTTTAATAAGTTTATATGTTTATTAAATAAATGATACTTTTGCCGTTTTTATGATTTTTAATGAAATGTATATAAACCTAGAAAAATTAGTTCAAAAATTTAAATTTTTTGTTTATACTTATAAGGG